AATCTAATCACTTAATTTAATTTTTACTTTACCTTAAATCATGTTTAAGAACCTCCCCATTGTGTGTAAATTGGTCAGAGTAACGGAATAATCCTTTCAGCTAATCATTAATTAGTAGCCATGGCAGTATCTACGAAAATTCTAACATGCCTATATTAGTAAACTTTTCTACACATAAGTGTTTCACTCGTCCTTTTTATTTATGCAAATAGTAGTAAGGTACGAATAGCAAATAGCCTCGTTCGTTTTTGACAGGTGAAAATGATTACGTAACGGGCAAACAGTATAGGTGACATTTTTTATTGCACCTACCACCGATGACTAAAAAATGCTTTAACTGTAAATTTACATAAATCTTGTGGGCAGACTAGCCTGAGTGTGCCATTTTACGTTATAGTTTAGCAGTAAACACTTTCATTTGCGTTGCCAGTGATTTACTTTTTAGGATTCTAATTTTAAATGTAAATATTTAATTTTTGTGATAACTAAATGTGATTCATACTTGTAATTACATGTGCGTTCAGTTTTCGTTCAATTGCCGACACAATGGTAGCACATAACTTAGATTACTCGAGTGAGTATAGATTTTATTAACATACCTTCTAACTAAAATCTCACATTATAGTTATCCTTAGCCCATTTAATTTCCTAATGGAAAAGTAATAAAGGCAATGCCATAAGGTATAGGGCGGGAATTGTAATGCGATAACCTGATTTTTAGCTTAATTTAGTGTTCAGAAAGTAGCGCATAATTTGTATTTTTGTAGGATTAATTACACTTTCATTTGATAAGTCGCAAAAATAATTTATTACCTTTTAATCGCCGATTTGATAATAATCGAATTAAGTTCTATTTTTAACACAATTTGATCTAATACCACTAGCCTATTTGCGAGATGAGTGACGATAGGGCACGGTTTTCAATTTTGAAATGAATTGTGTAACACGTGGACGTGGTGAACTTTTTGGATCGTGAGAATGATGTAATGAACGGCTTTAATTTAAAATTTGGGAAGACTCGTAATAATGAAGGTCCTTCAATGAGCCAGTGATGCCCCAGTTGAAAACTGGTTAGCCAACTAATAAATTATAGTGCATACACCGAATGTATATCTCCTAAACGTCCATGGACTAATTTCCACAATAACGGCAAAGAAAATTGCAAATTATTATCATTGGCTTACTACAATTCCGTTTTTACAGTTTATAGAACGTGTGTCTTATTATAATTAGAGTTATTTTTATGGGTTACCGACATCGCATACAGTCATAGTTCGCCAAAAAAGGTTACCGTTGCTCATTTTATGTATGTGTTAGACTTGAACTGCCTATCATATTAGATTAACTGTTGAATCAACCAGCTTTGTATGCCAAACACATCTAGGTACCTAGTACCCTTAAAATAAAGAGCATATCCTTATAGATGTATAAATATTTATATAACTTTCGTAGAAGCTGATCTATGGATTAAATCGTTAGGCTGGTCCATACTTAATTTCATCTCATCAGTGACCAGACCATCAACTGGACTGCTGCATTAGATCATTGCACTAAAAATATCCAAAAGGCGTTTTGTTAAATGTTCGGCTTTTAGTATGTTTACTACTCCCGCTGTTTATTCACAATAAGTTGGATTACGTGGTTTCAAGCGTATATTTGTGACTTTTTGTAAACATTGTTATCCCTATTTTTAAAACTGTGAACTTTTAACTTGCAATTAGTGCCTTGCCTGGTGTCAAATTTTAGAAACAGTTGCCTCGTGGCTTAGTTTTGTTTGTAATCGATTAGATTAGGTGACTGTATTCTTTTATGACGACAGTATTTTGGAAAACGACAAGCAGTTGTTAGTCGTATCTAATGAATAGATATACATAAAAGAGGTAATTTCCGGAAGTCCTTAAGAACAGCTCCGATTTTTATTTAATTATTATTATATTAATAACTAATTATTATTTAAAATCAGAAGCCTTTCAGAGGGGGGAAATAATCACGTGTATTGTTTCAACAATATGTATATCCTTTTTATGTAGGACATTTTTGACCATTTTTAGTATAAAAAATGTGTTATTGTTTGCGTTTTATTCGTTCGCCTGTCCCTCCGTCGGTCTGTCCGTCTTTCTGTCCAGCCGAAACCAATTCTGCGATTTTGAACTACTTTTAGGAGAATTGAATTGTCATAGAGTCCTGGAATTGTTTACAATATAGGTACCCTATTCCTTGAAGGTGTGCCAGACGGCCATCAAAATTCGTTGTCTTGGGTGTGGGGGGAGGGGGAGGACGTTGCATCGTTTTTTTCATTTGTATCTATAAAACGCATTTTTGTAAACCGAAATAGCGTAATAAATGTATTATAAGGTACAACAATGCTTTTTCAAATTCTCTTGATTTTCCAAATGGTTATAACTCTTCTGATTCTTCAAATACTGCAATTTCTTCGCTTCTTTAGGTTCTTTAAATTATTCCATTTCTGAATTTCTAAAATTCTTAAATTCTGTAAATTCCTCATTATTCTGTTCCTTCAAATTGTTTCAATTTTTCTCTTCGCGTTACCCAATTATACCTTCATCCAGCACCCCTGATTGTTTCTTGATTCCTGAAACCCGGCCTTTTTCCATTTCCAAATATTGCAATTATAAGGTCTAATTTCGAAATTTCAAACCTACGAGATATTCAAGTTCAAAAAGTGGCAATTCCAAGTTAACGCTGAATAATCATTTTATTAAAGTCTGTTATTTGTTATTTTATAATTGTACGTTAATTTTAAACCTTTTGAAGTTTTCAATTTTAAATTCTGAGCTTTTGAACTTTTTGACATCTTCGAACGACACAGTTTTTTTTTACTTTATAAGCAGAAGGTTGAAATACCAGAATGGCGATTGTGGCATGTTAGTGTGCTCAGTATGCAGGGTGTAACAAATAGGTATATGAAAAATCGCGTAATCAAAACAAGCGGTTTTTTATTCAAATAAACCTCAAAAATCCCAATATTTGCCTAAATGAACAGAGGTTTTTGGGTATGCCTTTCTAAAAATTTCTATCACAACTTGGCGCACCCCTAAACGAGGACAAAGAAAAAGGTTCTGGTCTCTAGTTGGTACCTACTTGCGGGTTTTTCAATATGAAAATAACGAATTAGTTTTTGAAAATTCGGCAACAAGATAACTATACAAAGCTACAAACCTAACCACAAAAATGGTCACAATTTCGTGAAATTTGGTGGGTGGGTACACCCTTTGTATATTTAGAAACAAAAATGTTGAACAGTTTCGCCTGTTTATCCTCAAAATGTCCTGATATATTCCCGCTCGTGTAAACCACCCATATGAACCTCTGTCCAGCTATAGCTAAAAAAAACTTCAGCTCTACCACGTCCGGCATACGCTATAACGAAAGTCTCGATGAAGACCTAAATTTCATTAATTCAAGAAACTCAGCAGACCTGATCACTCCCCCAACGAGGCCAAAGGATTAGTTAACAAATTTTTAATTAACGCCCAACAGAATCCTGGGTCTTGAGAACTCTTTTGGAGTCCTAACTTAAGCTCGATGAAACGTAAAGCTGATCATTTATACACACATAAATAAAACCAAATTAATAAGGCTGTAAAGCACAAGAAATCAAATTAGGGCATTAAATTAGCACCCAATTGTTCATTAACCCTCGGTAATAAATCACATAAATCACATTACATTGATTCTAACACCTTTTTGGTGTGCAGGTCTCCTGAGGTAAACGAGTTAAATCTAAAAACAAACGCGCAATAGTTTTTTAATTTAGACACTAAATTAGGGCTTAATTGGCTATTACCATTCATTGAATAAAATTACCGGTCTTAAAAGTGTTGGTCTACCAAGTTCATATTATCATAGTGTATATTCTTACACTATGATATTATGTATAACCGTTGAGTGAATTAAATAGTATATAACTAACAGAACATGTTATAATTCCTATAAAATAGAGGAGAACTAATTATGGCACTAAATTAGTACTAATTGGTACACAATTTAAACGCGCTGACGGAATTTTGTTTTTTTTCTCTAGGGGCGAAATTAACCACATTTTGAAACGCGCGCGTCTTCGAGGTGCAGTGGACTTTGGGCGCCCAAAAGTTTCTTACAGCTTGAATGCCAAGTCTCTTTCTTGTGTCGCCAATAGAGCTCGAGCTATTAGAAGTGCCCCAATTCCCAAAAATTGAGTATATGTACTATTTTGTGGAGGGTTTTTAGCGAAATCCACCAAAATGTTAATTGCGTGGGAACGGGACGTCGGAGGCAGGTACCGACAAAGAGACTTTGGTAGCCTTCGACAAGATCTTATTAATGGTGGAGTCAAAACTGGCAAATAGTCCTTTCGATCTTACCATTGAATAAAAACCACATTTTATTCAATGATCTTACACAAGGACTATAACTTTTTACACATTATCTTTACAGGGATTTACACTTATTTGGATAAGCACAAGCATATGATAGATAAGTAAGAATTTACAAAAAATACCGCCTTTTATAAGGGGGGAGAAGTCTTGGTATGGAAATTTTAATGTACATAATCGTATTAGGATTAGATTTATATTTATAAATCGCAAAACTTGAACCCCTATACAATTGTAGCATTGAATAAAGAATCTGAATTCAATGATTGTAGGTATTAAATTGGCATTTGTGACAATTTCTCTTCTTCGAATTAGAGAACCTCAATTCAACAGACAAATTAAGTGGTGTCATAAAAAATATTTAATTAATCTACATGATTAGGAAGAGTATTAACGTTGTGAAATGGAGCAAATAGTACGATAACAGCAACATGTGTAATAACTTTGTGACATCTTTCTTATGCAAAGTGAAAATAATGCGTAAGAAATATAAATAGATGACTTCACAATGTAAATCATTTATAGATTTAGTTTAACGGCCGTTGGTTTTAGACATTACCTCATAAAGGTAGTTAGTCACAGAAGACAATTTAAATTAGTTATTCTTACCTTTATGCGTACCGTCATCAAGGACTGACTACCTATATCCGAAAGAGTTCAGGTTCATTTCCATTCAATAGACATATTAAAGTATCAATAGCATCGTGTCTATTTTCCTCCGGTTTATTATTTTTTTAAAACGACGACGCTTCCGTAGGCGCTGAAATTTCGACGTCTTTTAACGCCAGTAAACCGACGGAGCGCGTACCCTGAAGTTGACACGTTCCTTCACTTTGATGTTATCTTAATTAATGTGACAGTGAATGGTTCAAAATGGTGGGGCGCTATACTGAAGGTAATTTTTTTGTATTTCTGACCTATTTATACAATCTATTTATGTCATGTTAAAATTTTTGTGCGTTTCTTCCTAAGGTGCATTCAAACAACCGCGGCAATTTGTTATAAGTATCCCGTTGTCCAATTATACTTGCCAAACCAAACACAATTATTGGGGAGATACGCGTCTCCCTAAAACTTAATGTCATAGAAATGTCATAAAAGGTTACTCAAATTAACAAAAAATAATTGGGTTAGCCGCGAATGAACATACGACCGGTATTAAAAATAAGTAAATAAAGTCCTACATGTTTGCTTGCACTAATATTTTAAATTAGTAGGTAACTTTTTAAAAGTGCCACTTTCTAGACAATTAGGTGTCAAGAATGTGCATTGTTTTATTGAACTATATAACCAGAATGGACGTTTTTAATGTATACTTACATTTTTATTTTTTTTTAATTCCACATACATATAGACTACTTTTATTTGAAAATCCTAAAATTTCTAGTATTTTTCCACCGAACACGTTTCAAAGGTGCCAAATATTCATGCAAGCAAGTTTGAACGACGAAGGAATAAAAGGGAATAGGATCCTAGATAAAATTTAGAAAGAGTGTAAACGTTACACTTACCTATATTTGAGTGAGGTATGTGGCAACTTTACACGCTTGACGCCAACATAAAAATACGACAATTACAAAGCCAGTAAACTTGAAAATTGTGAATTGTAATTATTAACGATTTAGCTTTTCAATAAAAATATGTGTGATAAGGCACCTCTAAAAAGCATTATGCGGGTCACTCTGTAATTGGGCTCAAGCCTGTTGAGGGCCCAGAACAAGAGAAGGATAATAAATAAATAAATAAATAATAAAAACATTTGAAAATATAGAAATGGATTCATTGCTACTCGTATACTTTAATATTTATCTCTATTACTACAATCATAGTGTAAGTCGAGGTGTAAGTTCTATCTTTTAGATAGATAGATACTTTTATTTCCACGTTCATCATTGGATATACACAAAAACAGACAAAAAATAACAATATGTTCTAAAAAAATAATAAACTAAAACAAGTAAATAAGACTAGATGAATCGCAGATAGGTACCTCATTAAACAATTACTGTTGTGTTGAGGTTACCATCACTTAAAAAAAACCAACAATCTTAGTGTAAAGATACACTATGGTTCTATTCACACTATGGTAGAGCTTGCAGTATGTGATTTTTAATTAAAAATTGTTTTCTTTCTTTCGACGTGGTATGACAATGCATGGGCATCAAGAAATTTCAGATTTTGCAGGATAGAATTGTAATTTTCCATTGCAGACCGAGGAAAAAAATCTTATCAGTTACTTATTATTATTCACTATTTAGATATTAAGGTATAGCGGTTTAGAAGCACCACATTGTTCTCTACAATAACAAATGATACTATATGATGTACCTAAGCAGAAAGTTTCTAATGTGTTGCCGTTTTTTTATTTTGTTAATTGTATGCAGTGAAGTAAATTAAAATGTAAATTACGTAGGTACCTAACTCGAAGCAGCATATGAGTAATTTCGTTTCAAAGATCTCATGGAAAAACTGTGCAAGAATTTTGTTTTCAAATACTTAAAGAAAACACGTGGAAATTTCGTGAAATGCTCATCATTTTCATATCCGGTTCGGAATTGCAGTTGAAATTTTTTTTTTTAATTTCCCAACTAATGGCAGGTTTGGTATGCTCACTATATGACCACCAAATAGTATACTTAAGTCGTAAACAGTTACTCTATGGAGCTGGCTACATGGAGTGCGTCATGCCTCCGTGCATGAAATATTTTACCTAGAAAAGATTAGATTGCTGTGTGCTGTCAGTAAAGCGAAAGCCCGACCGTCAGAAGGCGCGTTGAAAGCAAATGGCGTTGACTGCGTAGACATTTTCGAATTAAAAAAAACTGCCCATGTGCACGATATCAAGGATCGTGAGAAAAACCAGTGAAAAAATTGGTCAGAACAGTAAGTTGGCTACGTATTTTAGAGCATTGATGACAATTTATCTGATTAATCAAGGGGTACTTGAGAAACTATATAAAAAGATATTACATTTATAAGAAAAAAATAAATGTTTTTCGTAGCAAATATTAAAATATTCAATCCGTTTCATATTCTGTATGTTGTACATGTTCTTCAATTTCCGGATCTTCATCGCTGTCATACTCGGACTCCTCGTCATCAACTAAAAATAATAAAAAATATTTAAATCGACAAGAGCCCAGCCTGATGTTCGGGTTTAAATTCAGTTGGATGCCGTAACGTTGCCTTATATACAAGACAAGACAAGACGTGCCATCTTTCTTGATGCGTCATATAGTTCGCGATTAAAAAATGAAACACATTTTTGTGGTCATTTTAAGGGTTGCTCTTGTTTCCCTGGTTGCTTCCAAACGAAACATTTGCGACCATCGGTTTAGTGTTTTGGATCCCTCTGTCATCTGATTTCTTTTGGCACAATTGCGCCACTCTGTAGATTATTATCATCTCAATTCCATCTGGGCTACGCAATTATGCAGTTCACTGCCTGAAACTTTTCAATAATGGAATTTGAGTCTGTGGCCGTGCTATTCTTCTCAACCGTTTTAAATATTCAAGCAAACTTTTTTTAGAGATAAATTGCTCCATTTTTTATTGTTGAGACTCGATGGTAGTAGATGGTAGATAAAAAAACAACAATAAGTCGTAAGTAAATTTTCTATTGGCGATCGATTTCAACGATTATCATTGTCATCTTCAGGCCATGCTACAAGCATAAACCTTGGTTTATGCTACAAGTTATAGGTATAATGAGTTTTTAAAATTATTTTACAGTTAAATTACCGTCATGTGGTTATAAAAATTTGTGATTAATGATGTTGAATGAAACAACTGGTTTTACAGCAAAACGCGTAACATAATCCAAAATCTTTTAATACTTCACTACTGACATCCCCCCTCGATTGCAACATTAGTACCTATACACTGTGTCCAAGATATAGATGTCTATCATGGGGATCTCGGAAACCATATCACGCTTTAAAGAAAACCAAAAAATTTGATCGCGTTGAAATAGAAACTCCCCTTTGTCAGAAACGGCAGGGGTAGGTACAACAACCGCAAAGGTACTGATTTTGCACATTGAAGATTAAATTCGGAAGAAAATTCGGAGATTTATTCGAAATCTTTCCGATAATCTCGCGAAATTGACTGCGATCTTTCATAATCGAATTTACCGGAAAATGCAAGAGCATGATTTGAGTTTTCCGAAAACAGCGAAGGTACAATTAAATTAAAAGGAACATTGAGTTCTGAAAAAGGTACCTACATTAGTTCATTTTTGAGTCGCCCATATGTGTATAGCAGACGATGAAATGATCAAGAGGAAGGGAACGGCAGCGACCTTTACGAACATGGTACACCTACATGGACTGAGGGTAGAAAACATATTCGGCAAGTCCAAAATGGTAACATGTAATCAAAGGAAATAAGCGTCACGAACACAGCAGGCATATGGGCAAAAACAGTAGGATCGGACCACAAAATGGTAAAGGGGAAAGTAAAGAGGGGGGAGGGGAAGAAGAGAACAGGAAGGAAAGGACAAGGAGCACAACGGGGAAACCGATGGGCGGAAGGTGAAACTTCTGTCAGGGGAGAAGAAAAGAAAGGAGTACCGAAAGCAGTGGTAAAAGATTAGAAGTAAAAAGGGGATGGGATACCATATGGAAAAAGATCGGCGAAACGATCAAAGAAGCAACAAGGAAAACACTAGGGAAACACAAACCGCCCATGTGACCGAACAGAAAGCGGGCCAAAACCCACACTAACCTGAAACAAAGAAGAAGCTAAGGGAAGCCAAGGAAGAAGAAAACAGAGCCTATGAGCAACACGAAATCAAGGAATTCGCCGAGTTCGCGGAGATCACCAAACTCAGACCAATGGAGAGGAATACGGAAATGTAATGGTATAGGCACATCAGAAAATATAAAAAGAGGAAACAAGGGGGAAACAGAAAATATATACCAATATACAATGGTTCTGGAAGAAAACCGAACACCAAAAGAAAACCAGGGGGATCAAACAAGGATGTCCGTTTCCCCAAGGCTCTTCGCGATAGCACTAGACCACGCTATAGAACAAACAAGGATGGTGGTGAGGAACCTTAGCATAGGCGACCAATTACAACTACCGACATTACTGGCGTACGCGGACGATCTACTCGTAACCGTGGATAATTTATAAGACACTGAGGACTTCGTCCAGGCCATCGGGATACCAGGTACACCAGGAAATGGTGGACCTACAAATATAGAACGAAAAGAGCTACATGATGACAAGAGTGCCAGCAAACAACACCCCCAGTACAAAGAAGGAGAGAAGACCATAGCCGGGAAGGAGATAACCATGAAGCACAAGATCAAATATACGGGAACGTATGTACATAAGCAGCACCCTCAGCAGGCACAACGCAGTGAAAGGCAGAATAACCAACGCATTCAGAATCACACACGGAATCTGGAACTTCATACGAGCGAAGAAAGTACCGGACAGCTTGAAATGATGATTTACAACACGATCGTGGCACCGACAATCTTATACGGAATTAACACTTCAGCGCCAACAAAGAGCAACAGACGAACATTGAGGAGGGCGGAGTGGAAGGCACTCAGGATACTAAAGAAAACAGCAACCTCACAAGAAAGCAGAGAAGAGAACTATTAGAGGAAAAGACGTTCGCCAGGAGACTGAAGATGAGGCAGATGAGATACTGGGGACATACCAACAGGAGGAACAAAGACCATATCATTCGGGCTGCCAAGATTCTATGTGCCTCGGAATGGAAGGTAGGCCGACCCTGCCAAACATGGAACACCCAGCCACAAAGACAAGTAGCCAAGGGGAGGAGGAAAAGGGGACAGAAGTAATGCGGGGAGAGGACAACAATAAAGAGAGCCTAACACGAGGGAAAACAGGGAAGGGAACGAGACCAAAGGATAGGAACATCGGAAGCCAATGAACGCCCGGAGAAGAAGCTATCACTAGAAAGCAGAGTTCCCTCTAAGGCAGAATACCAGTGGCGAAGCTGTGGCCGTACCCGTTCGGGTCGGATAACACCCAGTTAGCCGCCCCCCCACAACCCCCCCAATCCACAAAATCCACCACATTGTTTGGCATATGTCGCGGCCCAGCGCGATGGCAACAAAGTAGTGGAGAAACGTCCCTGATAGTGTCTACCAGGGACGCATCCTCACGACAGTTGACTAAATCCTGGGAGAGGCGGCGACGCCAGGCATATGTCAAAGTTTCAAGTTTCAAGTTTCAAGTACAGGTTTAAGGCGAGTGCAGTTCGTTGGCATGAATTTCCCACACTGGGATGCATTTGCATATCTTGTTGCAACCGTTAGAGATCAAAGCAATAATGCGCGTGGCGCAGTTGCTGGGATTACAGCTGCATTTGTGAGTTGTGCCAATTCCGCTGCTGACTTTTCCTTTTGGGGTTATTTTAGAGGGTTTTCGTGAGACGTAGGTAAATAACTTTGCATAAGTCTTAAAGCTGTCCTTCGATGTTCCGTGATGTCGGTGCTGAAATGAAAAACGTTATCATTTTCCTTTTTTCGAGACCAAAATATATAACGTTTTTAACATTAAACAAATTTAATATTTAACAGTATACCGTAATTATGTAAACAATAATAATCAATAATAACACAAAAAAACTCGATTATGATAATGACGTAGAATAACCTGTGAGAAAATTAATGACACTATTCTTGTTTCCAGGTGTTCCGACAACGGCAGAACTTGAAAGTAACGGCAATAAGTACACTGTAAATAGAAGAAAGAGCAACGGCGTAACTCTATCCAAACTAACGTTAGCTCTAATGGCGTTAGCTGCAGCGTTACTGATTGCGTTGGCTGTTGGATTGACGATCTTGCTATATCCTCATTGCACCAATGCCGCACCGGAGGCGCTTCTTGATACAAAATCAAAGGAGATTGCCGAAAGGCTACCAACGAATTTATCTCCAACGCACTATAGGTAATACCTACGTCTGTCTTAGCAATTTTATGATTTTTACACAATACCTACTTCGATTAGATTACAGTTGATTCCATTTTTGCACGAGCAAAATTTCACATCCAGCGGTGCGGTAACAATAACTTTTAAAGTAAACGAAGAGACTGATAAAATTGTCATTAACGCGTATGATATGCAAATTCTCAAAGATTCCGTTAAAGTTCGAGAACTCAACGGTACTGAATCAATTTCAGTGAAGGATCAAAGGTTTAACAACGTATCTGAAAGCTACACGATTGATTTAAGTGAAAACTTACTGAAAGACAAAGAGTATGATGTGGAAATGAAATTCATTGGGCAACTACGCGACAACATGCAAGGATTCTACAGAAGCCAATACCTTGATTCGAAAACAAACACTATTAAGTATGATATCGCGATTGCCCAATCTGATTTATTGATTGTATTTGTTTCTGTATAGGCGCATGGCGAGTACCCAGTTTTCCCCAACTGACGCTAGAAGAGCGTTTCCATGCTTCGATGAACCTGCCTTCAAAGCAAAGTTTACGATTAGTATTGGAAGGCCTAGCAACATGAGCAGTTTGTCGAATATGCCAAAAAGAACAACGGATACAATGTAAAACATTATTTATTAACATAGATACTGCAACTTTAATTTCTATCTCTAGGATTGAGAGAGAGAATTGGGAATGGGATCATTATGCCGAAACACCCACAATGTCGACTTTTATCGTTGCGTTTATTGTTAGTGATCTCCAAGCGTATAGGTACAACAATCCATCGGGTACCCAGTTTACAGTTCACACGCGACTGAGAACCGCTGATCAAATCAAATTGGCCATCGAATTGAGTCCAAAAATTCTGGATTACTACGAAAATTATTTTAAAATCAAATTTCCTCTTCCAAAAATCGATTTGGTAGCGGTTCCCGATTTCGGATTCAATGCTATGGAAAATTGGGGTTTGATAACATTCAGGTTTGTACACAATATCGGTTACCTAATTGTATTTGATATGAACTTAATGTAGAGAAACGGCACTTTTATTTGATGAAAACACCGCAACTGTTGAAGACAAGAAGCATATAGTAGGTGTATTGGCGCACGAGTTGGTTCACCAGTGGTTTGGAAATTTAGTTACTCCCGCTTGGTGGAATGATTTATGGCTTAAGGAGGGTTTCGCTAATTATTTACGTTATCTTTCTATTCATCAGGTAGGTACTGTATTACTGGTTTCTGTCAGTAAAGGACTATCGGGTTGTAGGTTCAACCATCTTGGAAAATTGGCGATGAATTTTTACTGGACGAAACATACCAGGCTTTCAAATTTGACTATTTCAAGTCATCGCGTCCGATTACTCTCAATGTTGTTAACGTTGATAACATACGGCAAATGTTTGACAGTATTTCATATTCGAAAGGTAAGTCTCTAGCGCATTTTTCCAAAAGACAAAAGTAGATATAGGTACGTAGCTATTGTCACTCACTAGTTTGAGTTTTTTATGTAATTCTATATATAATTTACCATTACAAATGTTTTTTTTGAATATTATATTTATTTCGTTATTTCATTGGAAAAACGCCAAAACGATTTTTTACTATTACAGCTGTATATAGTATAAGTAAATTATTGCAGGGGCGTCCGTGATTAGAATGGTCAGTAAAATAATCGGAGAAGACAACTTTAAACAGGGAATGATAAGATACTTAAACCAATATCAATTTTCTAACGGGAATCATGACAACTTATGGGACTCGTTGACGGCTCAAACGGAGAATATTAAACTCGAATCATCACTTAAAAATATCATGGATACGTGGATCCTGCAGGCAGGATTTCCTGTAGTTACTGCGGTTAGAAACAGCACTACTGGAACAGTTCATCTATCACAGGTATCTCAACTCCACATTAAGGTTATCACAAACTTATTTTATTTTAGAAACGATTTTTGTTATCAAAAGAAAATGCAAGCGACGCACTGTGGTGGATACCCATTTCTTATGCGTCTGACACAAACCCCCAACTAGATGATACATCTCCAAAATTTTGGCTAAAGAACGAACCCGAAGCTTCGGTGACCATAAATGCAAATCACTGGTGGCTCTTAAATCTACAACAAACAGGTGAACGTCTATTTTCACTAGCTAATTTTTTTAATACATTTTGGCACTTCTTTATTAGGTTATTACATCGTTAATTATGACGAACACAATTGGAGAAAGTTGGTCGAGAACGTAATGATCTTCCCACTTGAAACTCGCGTACAACTAATAAGTGACTCTATGGACTTGGCTCGCGCAAACTTGTTAGATTACGACATACCCCTAAGAATGCTCACAAATCTCGCAATTCAAGATAAAGACATATCATTTATCACACACCAAGCGGCGCTAAACAAAGTTTCGTATCTATATAGCATGCTAATTAATTCCCCAATACACAAAAAGTTCCAGGTTAGTACAACATGCGATCTTTTAAGTTAATTCATTCGTTATATTCGTAGAACTTTATTTTCCGAATTTTTGACAATGCTCTCACAAACGTCGACTTTAACGACCAACCGCATGACGAATATTTAGTTCAAAGGATTCGAAAGCTCATTGTGGAATGGGCTTGCAAGAAAAGTGAGAGTATGTGTACTAATAATGCTCAAAAGCTATTTAGGAAGTGGATTGAAAATCCCGTACAGAACAAGTAACATTACCTGCAACAAATATCATTTGGTAATTCAATCATTTTATTATTAGGATTCGGCCGAACATACAAAAAGTGGTTCTCTGCACGTCTGTTAGGGAAGGCGGCGAGCTTGAGTGGGAATTGGTGTACAAGCATTTCATGAAGACTGATTCTGTTTTTGAAAAGAATATATTACTGGAGGCCTTAGGCTGTTCACAAAAACCATGGATCCTTAATAGGTAACGGGAAATATACCTATCCAGTGCGAACGTTAATTTAAAATTGATTATCAGGTATTTAGATCTCATTATGCAAAACAATACCGCAATCCGAAAGCAAGATAGTCCTCAAGTATTTAAAGCTGTTGCAAACAATCCAGTTGGTTCTTCACTTGCATTTTCCTATATCAGAAGCAACTGGGATCAACTCAACCAACAGTAAGACTTAAATACCTATGTAATTTAATGACTAACAAGTATTTATAGCTTTGGATCAGCATTTAGTATCATCAGCAAAATGGTTGCGGAACTGCCAACCTATATGAATACTGAATACCAGTTAATTGAGGTAAATATAATTGTAATAGAATACTTGTACCTACCAGCCTATGTTTCTTAGCTTAAAAATTTCAAAAAGAATAACCAGAACCACTTAGGAACATCTTCGCAAGCTTGGGATAGAGTTATAGAAACAGTGCAATCGAATGTAGAGTGGATGGGCCACAGTTACAAATCCATAGAAAAATGGTTATCAGATCAGGCTCACTATTATGGGTTACAAAAGTAATTATATTTGATGAGCTTGTATATGCACTAGAAGATAATATATCTATCTAAAATAAATTTATTTATCGTTCTTTATTTTATTTCTTATATTTTAGCACTATGGTCGATAGTACAGGAAAGGCAGAACTATAATAAGTAGGTATCTAAATATGATTTTTTTAAATGTATTAACATGTAAAGAAAATAATAAAAAAAATTAAAAGTTATATGTTTGATTACAAATACTTACATAAAATAATCAAACCTACCCTTACCATTGCACATTAACAAAAGTAACGAGAACAAAGTTTGAAATTGGCAATGTTGAAGATGATCTAGCGCCACGTAAAATTCAGGATAGGTACAGTGTGGCGCCATACGGAGAACTTTGTAGAGTCGTCCGACCCTCAACCTCAACGTCGCTCGAAGCCATCCCACACGTGATATGAACCTTAGGACGCTGGACTGGAAGGGGAGGCGGCTCTAATCGTAGCGATGTCCGGCCAGAATACCCCCAACATGGATCGTCTGAGTGGGACTAGAGCGGAACATTCACAAAATATTTTCGTCTTAAGTCGAGTAACTTCGCATTTTCCATGAATTGATCAGTACTTCCCGAAAGGTCCTGTAACGAAATATTTATGTGCACAGTCATTCACAAAAGTATAATGATGGCCGAATAGGTAAACCCTGCAGCTTAGCATAGGTAACCAACATTCCACCTGCCTTCCACTGTCCACATCGTACTCCAAATTCCAAGTTGCTCATCAAACATATTATTTTACCTAATAATACGGTATTATAAACGGAGGAACTCCTAAATCACGTTCCGTACAAAAGGCCCGTAAATTACGTTGGTTGGTTCGTGTTGGGTTACATTATTTTTTTTGTGTGTAGGTGGGGAAATGCTCCTTATGCACATTCTGGAAAGAAGTTCCAGAGTAGTGTGAGGCTCTCCCTTAGAGCATACTCACTAAAACCCCACCTAAGGCTTCGGCTACTAAGGCCATTATCAAGGACTATGAATGAAGTAGAGTAGGTAGGTATGTACAAATTTATCTTAAATTTACCCTGTTGCTACGGGTGTTCCTTCTGGACTTGAAAATTACCATCGGTTCCGCCCGGCAAGGCAAACCGTCTTCTTCTTAGGCTGCTCAATCGATAAAAATAAATGCTCCGGCTAACTCAAATCGGTGGGCTTTTAACTCTTTTGAAACTGTGTAACAAACCTTGACCTGCCGCCTACCAATCTCCTGCCTCTACTCCTACTCCTCCCTTTCCTTCCCCTCGTTCTTCGTTAAAGACAGGCACATTGAAACCAAATAGATAATATATTGAAATGAGATTAGCGATACAAACAATTTACAGGGATCTAGCAGTTCTTCTCTTCTCCTTGTAAAAACACTAGCTTAACAATGACAACTAAACTAAATACAAAATCCTAACAGGTGAGACTAATTTACTCAAGGGGTGGCCATCCTCTACAGTTTGAAAATTGCAACAACAGGTAATCGGTTTTTAATCCAGCATGGGCTGGGAATTATTTAAATAAACACAAAAATTTATCCTACTCTTTGGTAATCGTTCATGGGACTTTAATAAACAATCAACTCAAAAATTTTTTTTTACCACAGCTTAATTACCAAAAAGTGGAATTTTACAGAATATTACAAATTTAATTTAGACTAACCTTTACAACCTTTGTACAGCCGATCTTGTGAACTGCTCTTTCCTCTGGTCTGGTACAGAGTGGATGTGATGAAACCTGACACTTAGGTCTCTGTGACTTCCTAGGGAGTGGCTTGAATTTAACACACGGAAACAAAAATCCACGGTGCCTATCCTTCCTCGGAACGAAAGCAAAGTTTAGTGTTTGAACGGAAACTTAGTCCAGGAAATCCTTCGCGTGGCGAGTGGGAGACGGCTAGTTGCCAAAGTTTCTACCCAGCACGTGTATTTAATTTTATTTTATTAGTTTATTAGCTTTGACCGCCTGCGGGAGACGGATTTTTGAGTTAGCGGTACGGCAGAACACAAACTTTTATGATCACTATCCGACGGTAAACCGCGATGGTTCAAAGTATTATTTCACCAGCTCTTCTTGGGGCAAATATCTCTCCGAAACGCAGCGCTCCTTCGACAAATGACCTTACGGCACTAGTAGGAAATTCCACCTGGGGCGGATCCCGAAATTCTGCGCCTTGAGGACTAGGGCAGCACTTTGACTTATATATCCTCGAGAAATCACAACGTAGCCTAACGCGATTCACTGCATCCAAAGTAAACTGGGGTGAAGCTCAAGGGTTCGCCAAAATATCACCTGATTGGAACCTGGGTCTTCTTCGCCAAAAAAATCAACGCGAAAAGAAAATAACACTTCGAAACGGGTGCAAAAAGCACGCAACTGCGAGCAACCGAAATAAGCCGGTGGCTCAAACCGCCAAGTGTACCAAAAATCGCTCAAGGTACGTGTTGACCGCTTGACGTACTAACCGCGAGTCTTTTCTAAAACGCGATCACTCAAAATACGTGTCGACCCCTCGACGTACTAAACGCGAGTCTCTTGTAAAACGCGATCACTCAAAATACGTGTCGACCCCTCGACGTACTAGACGCGAGTCTCTTCTAAAACGCGATCACTCAAAATACGTGTCGACCCCTCGACGTACTAACCGCGAGTCTCTTCTAAAACGCGATCACTCAAAATACGTGTCGACCCCTCGACGTACTAGACGCGAGTCTCTTGTAAAACGCGATCACTCAAAGTACGTGTTGAAATGAAAAAACCACACCCAAATTACCATAAAACAAAAATGGCTCCCGCTAGAAATCTCCCATTGGTTTAGATAAAGAAGACTTAACCCACTCTAACTTCGTCGTTAACCTCAAGGAACTGCTGACTAAAACTGATCTCACGGTTTTCTGCTGATGACGTGAAAAACTCCTTATCTCTTGACGGCTCGGTGCTACATCCGCTCCTTTTCTCGGTCTAGACGGCGCCAAAGTTGATAAACGAACGACAAAAAACTCGCATTACTCATGATGACGTCAATCAGCTTTGCACTCTTCCCACGACGAAATTAAATCTGAGCGAAATTAAATCTATCGGACCATAGTCTTGAGCGAACCGAAATGCCCAAACACAAAACTTCTAACCGGAACAAATAATGAAATATACAGGGTGACCTGCACTATCATGACAAGAAATTCGAAATTTTTAATGAAATTTGGCGCGAAATCAAACCACTCGTTACACTGTATAATTTTATACGTTTTTTTTACTAAATCAAAAGTCTGCTTCCAAAAATGTAACCAATATCATATTCCCGAATATCTTTTCCAATTTCTGGAAAGAACGAAAAAGTTTTGAATAGAAAGTTAAATCATGATGATGTCCCTATCAAGAAAAGATTAGAAAAATAGAGCATCATATTACCACAGATTTAATAATTAAATCGGTGATATTACTAAAGTAATTAGGTACCTACTTGAGGTTTAACCAAAAGAATTACTTGCAACTTTTAATCACATAATTGATTGAGAAAGTACCTATATATAAGTTATATTAGGTAGGTACCTTTTTATAAACAAGATATTCCATATAACGTCAAAAGTGTACAGACTAAAAGAAATCTACCATAGCTATGAATCTACATATTATAACAACAATTTATTGACTGTCGCATATGTTAAGTGGTAAAAATCTAATGAAAATTGTCCCCTAAAATTTCTCCAAACAGGCCTTCAAAGGATGTGAATGAAATGACAAAACGCGTCTCCCATTTCATTAATAGAAAATGAGTTTCTCCAAAACAACTTTTCCGCACGAAAGCATTTTGTTGCGACCCACCACCTTGCGTATGTTGTATTTACTTCTCATCTTGTTACTTCTGCGCATGCGCGCGCAGTATCTTTTTGCATGTTCAACATAATTGATCGATTTGCTTTTATTAAAATGTATTACTATTAAAATTTCACCAAAATCCCATAAACAATCAGAATGTTACGTCTGCGCATATACGCGCGCAGCTTTTCTTGTTTATTATAGTCAATTGATTTGCGTCCATTAAAAGGTGCTACAATGAAAATTTCAGCAAGATCGGTTCATAAATCAGAAAGTTACAACTGCGCATTCGCAGAAGGATATGCCCCAGCGGTTTGAAAATTAATAGGTATCTTCTCCAACCAGGAATACGCTTGCAAAAATTTGCACAATTTGTCCCAGTAGATTTTGAGTTATCGTGGTAACAAGCTTTTTTCTGAGATGAAAATACTTTAACTACCCATATATGGGTAGAGAAAAGTAATGTAATCAAATCTAATGATTTGTCAAATAAATTAGTTAAAGATTACATTATCTACCTCTCGCGAATTTTCGGATGCGTACACACCTTTACTAAAAGAATATTTAGTTAACATTTCAAACATATATCTCTATAAATAAGAAAATTGACATTGCGCAGTCTACGCATGCGCACGTCTGATTTTTACAATATGCGATGCGCTTGTCTTTACTAGAAGCATCTGTGGTTAAAATCTGAAAAAAATCTCCATAAATGAGAAATATGACATTGCGCAGTTTGCACATACGTACATGTAATTTTTGCAATATGTGGTATGCTCGTCTTTTGTTCATATTACCCGCTTGCGATTACGAATTTTACTTTGTGGAGTAATAATATGCCAATTATTCATGTCTACGCTCATGCTACATATATGCTGCAACCAAGTTTACTATTGTGTAATCTCATGCTCCACAATAATTTTAATGTTAAAAAAAGCTATAATCCGGAGAAGTTAATGCTAAACCCGGTGCCCAGAGATCAGGTGTGGGAACCAAGAGACTCCGGGTCAAACCACAGGGGTGGTCACCCTACATCTGTTTACACTCTTGTAGTCCTAAGAAATATTTTGTCATTTGAATTGAGCACTATCATTGAATAAAAACACTATACAAACACAAGCACCAGCACTCTGTTGCCGAGGTTCAAACATGAGCATTAAAAATAATTGCTTTAAACGTTTAGTAATTTGCAGATGGCATAGTCTGATCAGAAACGTTGGAAATGATACTTACCACAAAAAGACAAAATTGATGAAACAAAATTTATTCACTTACAAAATGTAAATAACAAGCAAAATGGAATTGAACATAATATTTTTTCTAGTTTTGATTTATATTCTCTCAAATTTACATTTATATATTAAGT